AGACAGAGGTAAAGGAAAACCTGGAAAAACAGCATTGTTGTCTCTTCATCTTTTCATCCAACATTTTTGTTTGGTGTTAAATGCGCATTAAAGTGTCACTGGGACGATTTGGCCTCGAGAATGTCCGTCTTATCAGGGTTGAAACCCGAAGGCTGAAACAAGCTAGAGGCGTGAAATTCTTCCCCACAACTGGATTTGATGTGCAGATCCCAAATCAATTTGATCTACAAAAAGCTTCTTTGACCATAAAAGTCTGTCATGATGGATTTTTGCTCGACTTTTTGGTGGTGCGATTGTGTTGACTGACTCCTGTGTGACATATATTCTTTACAGAGTAGAATAAAAGGTATTTCTCTCTCACCTGCATGTATGTCTCCAGGGCCACCCACATTGACCAGCTGCTGAGTTTCTTGCCCCCCTTCACATACGCCTCTGCTCGACCTTTTCGTTTTGCTGAAGTCATATTTGGATGAGCCTGCGTTGAACAAGATGAAATGATATGATCGTTAAACAATGTAATCCAAATGAAAAGCCAAACACTTTCTTCAACAAATAGTCGTCTTTTGAGACATTTATTGGTATAAAAACATGTCACAATACATATTAAGACCAGGCTCTTCTAGCTATTGGTCTCAGTTGTGTTATCAAACAAATAAAATGTATTTACTCCACCTTTGCCCTGTTGATCCCCAGCACCTCTTCATGCACATACACTGACCACAGGTTGCATGTGCACTCTGTGGTGTGTGATGGGAACTCCCAGCAGCCTCTTTGTTGGTTGTGTCCCATTTCATGAATGGGCCCCCACAGGCCTTTACTCCTAACATGGTCAACATTGACCAGCTCAGCTGCTGTGACCTTGTGTGTCATGATGGGATAACCGGAATGCATCCAACCTGGACAGAGAAAAACAAACAGCGTCATAGCAATGGATCTTTAGGGCTCCATATCTATGGTAATATACAGTACTACGTAAATATTGTAGTACTGTGTATTACTATTCTCATTATATGTTTCATTTCTGTAATGTTATTGACTATGCTGTCATTTTATCATGTTCATTCAGAACAAATGACATCTGTTGCACTTTTGTCCATCCTGGGAGGGGGATCCCTCCTCTGTTGCTCTCCCTGAGGTTTCCTCCTCTTTTCTTTCTCCTGTTAAGGCTTTTATGGGGGAAGTTTTTCCTTGCAGTACACATTGTAGAGCCCTCTTAGGCAAATTTTTGATTTGTGATATTGGGCTATACAAATGAATAGAATAGTAATATACAGTATATTGTATTGCATGGAAACAGAGCAAAGCACAAGACACAAGCCTCATATTAGCATGTGTTGTTACAAAACTCATCATTCAATTAGTAATTTTAAACAAGAAGAGTTGCAATTTTTGAACCAAAGACATTGCCATGATGCAGTATGCACCCAATGTCATCTAGTGTCCCTCAGAGTCCTGGTAATAAGATCCTGGACCAAGACAGAATACGTTTTTTCTTTATATTGTATTCATTTTTAAGCAGTTTTAAGAATTTTAGTAATGCAAACACCATACTTTTTTTTACAGCACATGCTGCAAAGCCATCCTTTGATTAAATATGTGAGTATGCGACAGCAAAACACACTTACCAGCCGAGATTTGCACATCTGCTACAATGCGTTCTTTGCGGGGAAATGTGGGTATGACAGCCAGCTCTGCGACGCCCCTCATGATGTCATTCCAAAGGGTCGCCAACTCATCAGGGCGATCCAGGCTCCGAACGACATCTGATGGCACAGTGAGGATGATGTTTTCAAACTCTAACTCGGCCCAAGGTGAGGGAGATGTGCGCAGCAATGTCCATTCAGCAGCCGTTGTCACGCCTGAAAAGAAGAAAGGGATGGATATATTTGAAAACAGAGAAATTAATTACTACACACAATTATTTTGTAAGTTTTTGGTTTGAGGTATGCTGTCATACATTTTAATGGACAACTGGTTAATTCAAAGTTAATTCACTTGAATTGTCCCAGCATAGAATTGAGTTTTATAAACTTAGTTCTGGAACAAAGACCATGCCCCGAACAAAGCTCATTTCCTCCGCACAAAGTATTTAAACACAAAGAACCTCTTCACTTCCTCTGTGACTCAGTTTTCACATGACGTGCAATTCCCGAGCAAAAAACAAAAAGCTCAACGGCTTACCTTGCAAGGTCTGGATCTGGGGCTCTTTCTCACTCCTTCTGACAACGACCCTTTCTAGAAAGATTATCTAACTTCTGAAGTCCCGGATATCCCACCTTCTCCCACCATCCTTTGCCGGCAGCAACCTCCTCGTTCCTCGCGGCTCCCGACATCTATCCTCGGAAATCTCCAAAGTTGTTGGTCCCTCGCCTTTCAACAGCCACAGGGGGAGATCCCGATGCTGACGCTCGAAAGACGGCCGAAACCACCGCGACCCTTCTCCACCATGCCGACGCTCCGACAGTCCCTATACATCCCACATTTCCAAGTGAACAGTCTCCCGACTGAAGAACGCACTCACCCAGCGCAATATCCCCTTCCATCAGTCCAACAGAAAAGCAAAACGCTACAAACTGTTCACAGACTCTAAGCACAACACCACTCTCGCTTGATGAGCCTCCAGAGCACTGCCGGATTCCCAGTGTCGCATCAGCCACTATGCTGAAGACGTCACATAACACAGCCAGAGAAGCCCAGCCATACACATCAGCCCTTCCAGAGGGTCGTATTGCACCCCCTCCAAACTTTCTCTGCCCAAGGGACATCTCACCTTGCAGTCTCGTTTACCCAGTCTTCACTACCATCCCACGCACATGCATCCCTTCATCCCAGCATCCTTCCCTTTTTCCTCGCTCCTCCCTTTCCTGCCCCAACTTCCTCGGCCAATTTTGCATCTTCCAACATGAGACCGGCTACCTCAGCTGCTCAGACCTCTCCAACAGCAGGAATCCTTGAAGGAGTCACTGGCCAATTCTCATCCCTCCGTCCTTCCACGATCTCTGAAATGTATCCCATAGTTTTAGCAGCTATTCTTTGGGGGCATGAGTGGTTCAAAAATACCTTCACTATCTACTCAGACAACAGCGCTGTCGTAGGCATCATTAACAAAGGGCGGTCACATTGTCTAGATATAATGCTATTCATGCGGAGACTAACCTTGGTTTCAGCACAGCACCAGTTCATCATCCAAGCCTCCCACATCCCAGGTCACAAAAACTCCATCGCTGATTCACTTTCCCGTTTCTCGTTCCAGAAATTCAAACAATTGGCAACAGACTCAGACCCTCTGCCGACTCCAGTCCCACCGTTTTCAGCCACAATCTTCAAGTGACCCCGCAACTGGAACACCTAATCTCCGCCTCTCAAAATGCCATCCTCAACAGCGTTGCCCCTCAAACACTCTCATCACACCTCACTGGATGGAATCGCTTCAAAGCTTTCCACGCCTCCCTCAGCCTTCCATTCTCATCACTCGACATCCATACCCTCAAGAACTTCATTACATTACTCCTTGTTTCTTCTTCCCTACACCCTTTCATCCTTAACCCTTCATTCCTCGACCCACATCCCTACATCCCTTCATTCCATGATCCCCATCCCTTACCCTACATCCCTTCATCCCACAACCCCTTTCCGTTTCTTAAATCTATCCCTCTCGTTCCATCATGCAATAAACCATTTGAAACCCATATCATTATTAGCATGGTCCTTGTTAGTGAATAGCCAATATACCTACACATCTGCCATCTACCCCATGAGGATTTACACATCAATAGAACAATACAAGTGTTTAACCCACCAAAGACTCACCGGATTTATAGTAAGGCGCAGGTACAGCCATATGCACTATGGCCTCTACCCCCTCCACCTTTGTTTTGGGTGGAACCATCAGGTAGATTAGTCCCCCCCCACAGGTTCCACACCTGCGTCATCTCTGAGGTTACAGGGAATCGCTCGTAAACACACGGCGCTCTCTTCAATTCTCCTCTGGACTTCAGGCAGTCTGTTTGACAGCCTATCTGGATCTGAGGAAGAATGTGTGTTACTGATTGTTAAAAGCTTACTAGTGTGTGCATGTGTTCCCAAGATTTCCTCTGGGTATTTCGCACACTGGACAGGGACAGGGGCATGCAAGGAGTGGGTTGGACCTCCATTGGGGGCACACCATTAACACCACCAACAAACTTAATATGTGTACAGCACCTTCCAATCTTTGTTGACAATCTCTGCTGGCATGGCAACGAAGGTCTTCATACCAGGTGAGAGGTAGACCCCTGTACTGATCCACTCCCCTCCTCCTAGCACGCACACACACACACACACACACACACACACACACACACACACGCTTATATTCAACAGGACTTGTGGTGCAGTGTGTGGTCAACACAATCATTGGGATACTACCTAATTATTGCAAGTCTGCTCATTCTGCATATAAGTTGTAACTTGTTGTAACAGTTCACATATTTGTCCACAACAACGAGGTCTCACCTTCTGTGTTGACATTAATCTTGATTCTGTGGTTGTAGACAACTGGCATCAAGGGGTTATCCTTGATGAGGTAGGGCAGCAGGGCATCAGGATCTGGGCAAACCTTATACACCTCTGTCCCCACACTAAGGATTAGGTGGTCTCTGGGACTCTTCGCAGGACAGCTGTCACACACCTGGAAAGAAAATTACCAAAGATGTTGTTGTAATAGATCTGGATGGATGTCAGCTTTGTACTGCTACACTGGATTTTTTCGAACTCACCTGAGGCATGCCGGACTTCATCACAATGTGAGTGAGGGTGGACACCACCTGTTTATAGGAGGGGCAGTCATGAGCCTTCATGTGCAAGTAGGTGGCGCAGTCCGTGCCCAGCCTATTGAGGTGCTCCTCCTCATGCTTGCTAAGCTCCACATCGTGAGATACATGACTGGCGAAGCGGTGCAGGAGGTGGCGGAAGTGGTAGGAGTCTTTGATGGCCTTGCTTGGCACGGGGGCCTTGTATAAACCTGCACTGATAGTTTTCCTCAACAAGCTCAAGCCCATTACGTTCAGGATCTTGTTCCCTGAAAGAAATTGCAGCAAACACAAACTCATTGGTGAAACTATTACGTTCAGGGTAGGAGTGGGTGGGTTAACAGAATGCTTAGATTTAAGTGTATGCAGGCTTGTTACATATAAAAAACAAAGTGGCCTATCATTGAAAAATATGTTCTCTTTGTGGACATCAAAACACCTCTTCTGTCTCTGGTAATTTTAAGTCTAGTCAATTAGACTCATGATGTTCTTAGCGTCTGCCAGACTTCCTCACCAGCTGTAATTCATATGATTAATTATCCTGCTTTGTGTGGCTGCTGTATATATACAGGACTTTAAACAAACCACTAGCAGCCATTTGAAGCAGCAGGTTACTCTTGCGTCTTGTGGTTGGTCTGCTGCTGTGCTTTTGACTTTTATGCTTTTGGCTTTAAAGTTCATATTATCTGGGCCTGGGCCTGAGCCAGCACTCAACAGCTTCTTTTCGATTGCCCAGTGCTTCAACCTTCCTGCTGCTCAGCACTTTGGCCTCTCTGCAAATGTACTCTTCTTCCATTAAACTATTACAATTATCCAGGCAGCACCTGCTCTCCTGCATTTGGCATCTTTCTTATGCAATGACTAACTCCAGTGGTCATTCAGCTGGTTGCCTCGGAATGGCACCAGTAGACTCTGGGGGACTGTCCCTACAAGTTCTGTAACTTTCCGAAACCAACAATCCTTCACTGCAGAGGTGAGAAACTAAGCTGAGTTTCAATTTCTCTAACTACTATTCGTGGTACTTTTTATGCGTACAACCAGATGCAATACCATGATTTGCCTTTATGGTGAAACTGTCTGAAAATGTGCACCATTATCCCCATAGTCAGAAAGTATCGCATTTCTCCCCTCTCTATGAAGACTGGCCAAGACTTTGGATGCAATCAGACAACATGACGTAAACTACTTCATAACACAACCCATAGTCATCGTGCTTGCCACCACTGCAGGCAACCAAACAGCGAACTTTCCTGTTTCTTGTTGGTGTACTCTCATACCTGGGAAATCTGTTAATTCATTTCGCCCAGGGTGTGACTGTGCCCAGTACCAGGCGTGTCCACCGATCAGCAGGCCTCCTCCCTCTGCCACAAAGTGTTGGATTTCCTCCATGTGATCATCGCTGTACGCTTTAGCCACAAATACGCTCAGGTCTCCTCTGAAGTTTGTCTGCTCACACTTCAACCCTGACTTGCTGAGAACATTGGGGGAGATATGTGGCGCGACACCAACGACGCCCTGCCGACCTTCATCCAGCCAATGGAGAGCATTTTTCCAAAATGGAGCCAGTGTCTGCGATAAAGGAAGTTATTACAAGAAAGGCAGATCAGCACACATCTCATTATGTAGCACACTAGAAACATTTAATATTTAACTAAATAAATAGAGTAAGAATAATTACTGTCACACTATTTACCTTGTATTATTGCCTACATTAACATATTTTTCTTATTTAACTTGTGAAGACAAACATTCTACATTAAATGAGTCTGATTTGAACTCTACCTCTCGTCCCAGAAGCCCTTCATGTGTGATCACAATGACTCGTCCGTTTCCATAGTAGCTTCCTGCCAGGAATGCTTGTCCACTGCTCGTGGTCCCGATGGGAAAGGCTAGCGGGCCGTGGACCAGAACCTCAGAGGCTATATTTCCACCTTGGAGGTCAAAGTCTGAAACCCCCTCGAGTAAGAACTGCAAGTCATCCTCAAAATCCTTTCCGAGCCTGTATTTGAAAGAGGAAGGAGAAAGATAGATGCCAACTATGTGGGTGAGTCTATTCATTAAGTGTGTCAATTGTCATCTTTTTTCATTCATATTCAAAACATATTAATGGGTTGATTTTGTGTCTATGAAAGTCAAATAAATAACAGTAGGAACAACCATATGCGATGCATTATATTTATTATTAGTCTACTGATTTTGATATTATGATCGTAAACTGGAGGGCCAAATATGTGGAGAGGTTTTCGGATTAGAAGTTGCAATAAATGAAAAGTACAGTATACACTTACACTACGGCCATCCAGGAGGACGGGATCTGTGGGTAGACAGGCAGGCACTCTGCCTCACCCCGATGGTCAGAGAAGTAGATCCCTGCCACACCAGAAACCTTATTCCCTTCAAACTGAAACAGTGTGTTCTCCTTAGGGTGTTTTTCAGCCCAGCTCCACGCCTCCCCTGCTATCAGCACTCCTCCTCCAGCTTTCAGAAAAGCCACCAGGTCCTTCACGTCTGCACCAACGCTGTAGGCGTCCGTCACGTACACACCAACCTCCCGGTTGTCACTAAAGGCCCCAACAACTGTGGCTTGGAAGCTGGATTTGCTGAGGTTATCAACGACTCCCTTGATGACTTTGTGGACCCCCACAGACAGGTTGTTAGATCCATCTCCTCTCAGCCAGGTCAGAGCGTTCTCTACCAGAGCAGGAAAGGCGGTCAGGTAGCCCTCATGACCCAGGACCACAATCCTCCCACGGC